TGACAAAGTACAAGAAAATAGCCAACGCTCTCATTTTTAAAAAATGAATTTTGAAGCTTCTTAGGGTTGAGTTCTTGGAAATCATTTTTCATGTTCGTAATTCATTGTTTAAAAGGCACGCCTTCTATTTAAACGACATGCTCTAACAATTCATAATGTCTTAATTTGAAGCTATTACTTTCTCCTATGACTGGAAAAAAAAAGAACAGATAAGCCATTTATGTAGATTAAACTTTGATGCAAAGCTCTAGGATGAGATAATTTATGAGAATTTATATTATCTGTGGATTATCTGTCTGAACTTTCATTTTAAGGTAGCATAAGTCTTATTTTGTGGTACAAGTGGGTTTTTGGTGTGGTTGTTATAGGAGCTTTGCCCAAATCCTTTTCTTTTACTATTTGTATGCCTATTCACAGACAATTGGGGCAGTGTTCTTACTTCAGAGCTAGCATTGCCCATTACTGCTTAGAAGGTAATAACTGCACTGCACCTGAATAAAAAAAAAATCTAAAAAAATAGATTAGTTAAAAAAAGAAAGCATAGCAATAATGTGGTAGGTGGCATGTATAAATACATTATTGAAGTCATCCATTAAATAAAAAGTTATATAACACCACAAGTATTATTTGTATTACATAACTGAAGAAATCCCTAAGGGCAGCACTCACCAAATTAAAGGATAAAGATTGTTTGTAGTTATTGTTAGCACTAGCATTCTCAATAAAATCAGTTGAGAGAAAGTATTGTCTCATTCTAGACCTTTTTGTTTTTTAGGGCCCTATTATTTTTAGTGCGTGTTTCTTTACTGCCCTTTCTTTCCACCTTAAAATCTTTACCTGGCTAGGATCTGTTGTTCTGTTACTGGAGGGCAAAAATGGGAGGAATTGTCTAGCTAAATTGCAATTAGGCAGCCCCGGGTGAGGCTGGCACCAGTTAACTTGGGATATTGGAGTGAAAAGGCCCGTAATCAGCCTTCGGTCATGTAGAACAATGCATAAAATTAAATTGACATTAATGAATAATTGTGTAATGAAAATGGAAGAGGAGAGTTAATTGCATGTTACAGTGAGTGTAATGCCTAGATAACCTTGCATTTAATGCTATTCTTAGCCCTGCTGCCAAGACTTTTACAGAGCCTCTCTCAGCAGGAAATCATTAAAGCTGTGAGTAGATAATGCAGGCTCAGTGAAACCTAAGTGGCAACAATATAACAAGAGTTTCTTTCAGACTGTAGTGTTTTCATGAGAAGAGGAGGGAGGAGGGCATCTTGAGGTAATTTGTACACATCTGAATGAAAACAGGAAGCTTGGACAATCTATTCTCAGCTCGTCCTGTGCTGGGGAATTCTCAACCATTGTTGCAGACAAGATGTATGATGCAAGATTTCTCCACCAGTACTCACTAGGTACTCACTACGCCGTTATATTCCCAGCTGTCTCTTGCAGCTAAAACTTAACTTTTATAAATAGCCTGGGGTGTAAAAACACTTGACCTCAAAGCAAACAAACTATCTAAAAGTATCTTCATGCCCATCCCATTGTACCTCTCAATCCCTGGATTGTGAAATCAGTGACTCTAGCCCTCCTTGAAAAAGACACTTGGAGACAAGCATTTGAAAAGCTTTCCATGATTTTTTTTTTTTTAATTAAAATGAGGCCATCTTTTCAGAGAGCCATGGACCTTTATTTGAGATGGATATCATCTCTGGAAGACTTAAACATCTGTAACAGTGATGGATGCCTCCATTATAAAGCTTGGCGGAGCTAGATAGATCCACTGAATGGAAACAGTGCAATATTAAACAGATTTTGCTGGGGAGTTTTGCCTAAAGAATAAGATTATCTCAAAACACTTAAGAGGCAGTTAATTTTCCAGGCCCCACATTGCTATCAACTCTTACATGAGGCCTTGTACTGGATAAATTATAAAAGCCTTTTCCTGATGTTTAGTGGAATACGAATGATTCATGCATATGCATTTCGGGTTATTCCTTCCCCACCCCCCCAAGTCAAGCAATAAGCATTCTGAGAACATCAACAGTATCTTCACAGCAACTTAATTCTTTCTTTCTCTTTCTTTATCTCACTCTCAAATCATACTGTTAAGACTGAGGTTAAGAGTTCACCAGGTAAAATTCACTTCTCCAAGGTGGTGGAAACAAGGAAATAGCATAGGAGAGCTATAGCAAGTGGCAGCACTTGATGTTCTCATCACATTGGGACGCTAAGTAGGGTCAGGGAGACCTTTGGAAGGGAGTCCATTAAGCAATTGAAGGCCATAGGCTAAACTGTAAAGTTAAAAAAAAACATAAATTCTAAATTCATCCTTAAAATGATTCCAAGGCCAGTGTACTTTAACTCGTGTTTGCACTGCTGTAAGATATTTGCTAACAAGAGAAAAAGAGCTAATGTACTGAGGTATCTATACACTGCTAAAATTCTCATGGTCATTACCTTTAACTGGGCAAAATGGTGCATCATAGGGCAACAATTTTTAAGCCAAGGTTCTTCAATTGGGACAACATACATAATTGTGTCCAAAATCTGGGACCCATGTTTCCCAAGGCAATAAAATTTGGAGACATTATGGCTGCTTTATTTTCAATGTTTCATAACAGAGCCAGTCTCACAATCCCTTGCTCCCTCCCCCATCCAGCAACAGCCACTTATCTGCCTGAGGGAAACGGGTAGGGGCAGGGGAAGAAGAAGGGACATTAAGGAAGGAAGCCCTCCAAATCCTTCCCAGCTCCCTATACTTCCTTCAGATGCTCCCTTTCTGTGCTCGCCCCTTTGCACCCTTCTTGGTTTGCATAGCACCTCTTGTATACACACACTGTGACCCCCATGCGCCCTTCTTTGCCTGTGCTACTCTGTCCCTAGTGGGGGTAGCTTGGAAACAGTCTAGGATAAGGAGGCTGTTTACACAGTCTTATTTGTCTCTTCTACACTTGATGAAACAATATTTTCTTCTTGTGTAATGTCTGAGTCTAGGCTGTGTTGTTCTATTATTGCCATGATAAGGCTGCCCGATGATTATTTTTTTAAGAACATAAAATTTTCTCTCTTCTTGTTATATTCCTTCCTTCCTCCTTCCCTCCCTATACCTTTACTCAATATTTGTACTAAACTTTCTGTATTGCATGAAAAATCTGTTCCCAAGTTCATGTGTACAGAGCAATCAGCAAAAAACATTATAGAATTACTTCTTCTGTGCAAACAAAACTAAAACATTTGGGAGGAGTATTGGCTTGGTTAAATATTCTAAAAAAGATTTATATATGAATAGATACTAATGTAAAACAAGATACAGTTCTAAAGCAACTCCGACAAGTATATTTGCAGATTTTTTTTTCTTTCAGAAAAGACTCTTCTCAAAGAGTGTGTGTTACACTTTCTCTCCCCCTCTCCCTTGACTGCCATGACTAAAACAAAATGATACAAATGTGACCAACAGTGTTTTGTATGGGATTTGATGGGCTCTCTCTTGAATGGGAATTCTTAAATCCAGAGACAGTGTTGTGCATCTCTCACTACTATTCTTTCTTACCCCCAAGGGATAATTTAAGGTTTTATGGGCTCTGACCAGTTCAAAGCTCAAAGTATTTATTGGGAGATGGTTAATCAATATTGAAGGAAAAAAATCTTGTTCCACTTCCTAATTAATCCTTTTTAGATTCTTTAAAGTACAAAGAGGGCAGCATTTCTAACAGCTTTACGATCTAGCACTAGCATTAGGATCATATCTCAAACTTTCTCATGGTTAAGTTTTCTCTATGAGAGGAAAGCGTTACTGGAGGACAGAAGTAGTGAGGAAGACCTATAGAGGAAGCAGAAGAATGCCTGGAAAGAGGAATTAAAACAGAAGAAAGAACAGGATTTGCAGGGAGAAATCCTACTGTGGGGTGTATCCTAGTAGTGGAGTAGAGTGAGAGTAATGCTTTGTTTCTAGTGGGGAGCAATAGCAATAGCACTTAGACTTATATACCGCTTCACAGTGCTTTATAGCCCTCTCTAAGGGGTTTACAGAGTCAGCATATTGCCCTCAACAATCAGGGTCTTCTTTTTACCAACTTTGGAAGGATGGAAGGCTGAGTCAACCTTGATCCTGGTGAGATTCGAACTGCCAAATTGCAGTCAGCCAGCAGTCAGCAGAAGTAGCCTGCAGTACTGCATTCCAACCACTGCTCCATCACAGGGAGTGCAGTAAAATAGAATTAGAAGGAACAGGAGAGAAGGTAGAGTGGAGACAAAAACACTCGCATAAAGAACTTTTGACACACTTTTGTATTGTTGGACAATTTGCAAGCACACAATGCCGCCCCAGCCTCTATGGTGAGAAATACATGCCGATTGTCTAGAGACCTATGCTGTTGATGACTCTTTTGGGTCTTGTGTCCCCCAAATTGGATATAAGAACCCTGACAGTCTTCCCCTTCCAAGACTCATATGTACAACAAAGAGGAGAGAAATGTGAGGACTCTTGGACGATACAGGATCTGAGGTACATATTTAATTTCCTAATTCTTCTCCTTTTTTTAAAATGTAGTGCTTCTCAATCAAGTGCCCTCCATATTTGTTTGGTTGATTCTTTGACTGAAGGTCTTCGGAATTCTTTATTTAATGCTCTTCCAGCCCCACACTGCATCCTTAAAATTTTCTACCACAGAAGCATGAAGACAGCATCCATCTGTGGTTCTTATTTTACCATGTATTCCTTTTTTGTTTATCCCTTTTAATGTTTTTTTTTCCTTGTACATCTCAGACTTCTCCTTGATGTGTCTTCTTTCCTGCATGTCAAAAACACACTTAACGTTTCAAAAAGCAAATGTAATCATTTCTTTTTCAGTTAAAAGACGCGACCTCTTTATGTAAATGACAACCAAAGGGTTTGTAAAGTTTGTCCCTGAAGCTTGCCTGTCCAGATTACTGACTTCTTTAGGAGAAAAATAAAATAAATCAAAGCTGTTACTTCAAAGTATATTTTCTTTTGCTGTGTTGCTACACATTGTTACTACACTGTACTTGCTGATTAATTGGATGGTGCTATGTAAAGAACATGCTTATTAATGGCTTCGCTGTCATTTTCACGGATTAGGTCACCCAGTGATATGTTGAAACAAAAAGATGTTTTCAAAATAGATGCTCCAGATTTTCAGAGACGTGTGTGGTTCTGCTATTCATATACTGTAGCTTCAGTTTACTTGAAGGAGAATTAGGAGAGAAATGAGAAAAGCATGAACTTTTAAAACATTATCATTGTGTTTCATTTTGCTAATACTGTATTAATTGAATTATTGCAAGGAAAATAGAAAAAATACTAAATGGAAATTAAACCAAGGAAATCACCGTTTTCTTCATTTTTCTAAATTCATTTTGGATTTTTTTAAAAAAACACTCTTATAGGTTAATATTTACTGCCAGAAACAGGCTTCATTACTTTGAGGTAAAGCAACTGACATTTGAAAAAACTGATTTGAATCTGCAGCCATGACAGAACTGAATACTTTTCAAAACTCTATAACAGCAATAGCAATAGCACTTAGACTTATATACCGCTTCATAGTACTTTTACAGCCCTCTCTAAGTGGTTTTACAGAGTCAGCATATTGCCTCCAACAATCTGGGTCCTCATCTTACCCACTTCGGAAGGATGGAAGGCTGAGTCAACCTTGAGCCAGTGAGATTTGAACTGCCAAACTGCAGCTAGCAGTCAGCTGAAGCAGTTTGCAGTACTGCACTCTGTCTCTGTAATGATACTAAAGATAAATGGACTGGACTATAAAAGCATACAGAATGAAGTCACTAACAAAGGTCATAAGAATCTCATTGTATACATAGAACTGTATTTAAGAAGGAAGGAGCTACACATGTACGCAAACTGACTATTCATATAGGAGGAAGCTTGAAGTATAAACTACTGCACATGTGAAATATGAAGGTTGCTTCTGCTGTGTTCTTACCACCTATTTATTAAACCTTTGGGTGTGAAATACATAGTTGGCCTGCATTCTTCTGAACAATTGTAGTAGCAATAGCAATAGCACTTAAATTTACATACCACTTCTTAGTACTTTACTTAGTACTTAGAGGGGTAAAGTACTTAGTACTTTACCTCTCTAAGCATTTTACAGAGTCAGCACATTGCTCCCAACAGTCTGGGTCCTCATTTTACTGACTTTGGAAGGATGGAAAGCGGAGTCAACCTTGAGCCAGTGAGAACTGAACTGCTAGCAGTCAGCAGAATTAGCCTACAGTACTGCATTCTAACCACTGCGCCACAATGGCTCTTCAATAGCCACTGATTATATTTTCTATTAGCTAAACTTTTATTAGAATTGTGAAAGATCATCAATATGTTGTTGATTTAACCATTCAGTCATGTCTGACTCTTGGTTTTATAGGCAAGCATTCTCCATGCTACCTTGTCAAGCAGCTTCTTGCTTCTTTCAGTTGTATCAGTTATCAAGCCAGCATGTTCTTTGTTTGCCCCTTCATTGACTCACCAATGAATTTGCATGTATGACATGGCCAAAATAAATCAGACGTAGTCTTGTGGAAAGGTATATAGTATCATATATACAGATGTGCTAGACTTCTTCTACAGTATACAGTATGATGATCAGTATGCAGAAATACTGATCATCAAGCCATCTGTACAAGTTGTGACTACTTCTGCAGTTGTGCTGGATGTGAAGCTAGTATATCTGTTTGATTAACAGTGGGCAAGGCATATATTTACAATTTTCTTTCTTTATAAAATTTGAAATATGCTTCAGGGAATCCTCTGATTATTCATAAATTACCCTAAAAACTGTGGACAAATGCAGCATATGCATTAGGTACACCTACCACATTTGTAAAGTGATAATAATGCGTTGTTTTGTTTTATTGTTCCGCCAAGAGATTGAATATATAACTAATATTTTTATTTTCAAGAAAACTGTACAAAAATAGAACAATTTCACAAGGCGACTGACAAAATTATGTTTATTTATTTTTCATATTCCTTAACCATCCATCTCCCTCGGATGTCTATATTTCTGATCAGGGACGAAAGTTACTCTCTATTTCCAAGGGAAAGAAAGTTGTTAGAAAGTTGTTAGAAAGTTGCCCCACTTCAACTAAATTCAGTCCAGTGAAATATCAATGATATCTGGAAATGAAGGAAGGATATTAAAAGAAAGCCACTAAAGAACTTATATAAAACCAAAATTGTCTGTCTGTCTGTCTGTCTGTCTGTCTGTCTGTCTGTCTGTGTACTTTGCTTTCTGTATAAATAATCTATCAACCCTTATACAATAAAAAAAGAAGAAAAAAAGATAGTGGCTAGGCCCACATGATAAAATCCCTTCTCTTGCACAAAAAATAAGAGCTTCTATCACATTGTCATGGCTGCCATCTTTATTTTTTCACATCCCTCTGCTATTGCCCACAAAAGGATGATGCATTAAAAAGCAACAGAATTACTGTATATACGACTTCACAGTGCTTTATAACCCTCTTTAAGCAGTTTACAGATATTCAGCATATTGCCCCCAACAATCTGGGTCCACATTTTACCGACCTCAGAAGGATGGAAGGTTAAGTCAACCTGGAGCCAGTGAGAATTGAACTGCTGGCAGTCGGCAGAATTAACCTTGCAATACAGCGCCACCACGGCTCTTAAAAGTTTCATTTATCCATCATAGCTAATATTTTCTAAGCAGGTCTCACTTGGGGAAAAGGAGCTAGAAGAGGAATAAAACGGAATAAAAAGGAAACAATCTATGCCACATTTGATTTTCCAGAACTGCTATAAAAATTGGTGTAGTCTTCAAAGCAATCCTACTTCTTTTGTGTGGAAAGTCACACCCTATTTTCCTACATAGGTGTGTGTTCCTGAGTTTGTATTGCTTTTCCATGTACCTGGGCTTTTGGAAGCATGTCAATATTGTGTCAACACTATATTGTTGATGCCATTGTGTGATTTTGTATTGTTAATCTGTTGATTAATTTATCATAGTAAAATTTTTATTTAAAAAAAAATATTTGAGAAAAGAACAATATTTAAAGCGGGGCAACGCAGCATATTTTTAGCCCTACTAAAATGGATTTTCTCTTGTCTGTGATTGTGATAACATTAAAAAATAAAATGAGCAAGTATCCGTTATAGTTAATTTAGTCATCTTTCAAAATAATTCAGCTATCTCCATCTTCATTGATGCAGGATTTCAGAAACATCTGGTTTGAGTCTGATGAACATGTGATTTATTTATTGAAACAGCTTCCTGTTAAAAGATGGTGAAATAGGAGAGATATGCAGCTCTATGTCAAAATGAGAATTAACTAATATAATCTAAGGTGAAAAATGAAGTGTTTTCTCAGAAATATGCAAGCAACAGTCCAATGATTAAATGAATGTAGTCTATACTGTGCATGCTTTCATAGTGTTTCTCTGTACACATTTGAGAGTATGTGCATGTGTGAAGGTATGTATATGTGTACCACTAACCTCATTTACTGCCACAGATACACTTTATGGAGTTGCTTCAAGAATTTCCTATGACAAATATTTTTACTTCTGACACCTTCATGCTGAAAGAGTTGGCTTCTTTAATCTCTTTTATATTTAAAGTGGGATTACAGTACCACATGGGAAAATAATCCATGGAATGAGTAATAACTTCAGACGTTCCTGAAGCTTGCATGTTTTACAGATTGCAATCATACAGGACCTAAACTGGGATCAGAAGTTGGTTAAGCTTTAGCTGCAATTTCTAGTATGTGGTAGAATAGGCATTGGACAGAAAGAGTTCAACAGTACAAGTGTGCATATTTATTTCAAAGTAAATATTATTATGTTCAGGGGAGCTTACTTCTAGGTACATTTGCCTAGAATATAGTCTTTAATATTATTTTGATTTTTTTGTTTCAAACTGTGGCGGCAGGCTGAATCAGATAAGTATGTTTAACAAACAGAAGAAGTATAAGAGGCTGAAGAAATAAAGATGGACTTTTCATTTGCCAAGAATTAAATAAACTTCCTCACCCTTGAATTTAATAGACTTGATGAGGTATTGGCTCTTCCCCAAACTCCAGACAATAGAAAAGCTAATTAAAACAGAATATGAAACTTTCTGAAGTTTATGAGAGAGTTAAATGGTATAGTATCAGCAATCCAAAAGTCTCAAAGAGGTGTTAGCGAACTGAAACTCGCAATAGAACTTTTAAAGAAATATATATTTTACAATCAAGCTTTTATACCCTATGCTGGCTATAATCCAGAGAGTTACTTAGGTGCTTCTATGGATTGCTTGCACCCAGTGGGATTTAGAGTGTAAGCTTTTTACCCTCTTTCCTTTTAACAGCAGACTCCCTTCCCAGACATATCATAAACTGCTTTTGAAAGTATGCTTCCTCTGCAGCATTTCAGAAATAGTGTTTTACGGAAAATATAAGCCTAAACTCAATATGGGCCTGCTTGCCAGTTTCGCTGGACTTTCCCTGTCCTTCTTCCCATTTGTGTTGGTAACTATGAACATTCAAAGCTAAATCCTTCCAGAAATGTATATTGCTTAATTATTTAGCAATCAGACCTCGAAAAAACACAAGTGATAGCCTTAATATGATAGAAAGCAAAAAATATGGATGGGCAATTATTACAAACTCAACAGCATATCTTATTCTACTTTTTCAGTCATTTCCTACTAAATTTTTTAGACATTGAATAGTGGGCACAATTCAGAGAGGGAGATATTTACTTTAAGCCACCACTAAAATCAGTTCTGTGTTTCATGAGTCTGATAACTGTGGCTAAAGGACAAGGAACAGACAAATAGGTCAGCTCCTTCAATTCCCTCTGGAAAACGAGAGGATGCAAAGTTGCCCACATTGTGCTCTATAGGGTTGCTCCTCATGAGGAGACTACAAGCGGTGGGACTTAGAAGATGGGAGAACCAGGAGATGAGGAAATTTGCTATTCTTGCTCCAGGCACAGTCAGACCCTTCAAAGGACCCTACATTCAGCTTTTCTGGGCTAACCACCTTTGGAAATTGCCTATTAACTTTAAAGAAGTTAGACTCCTTCAAAATAACAAGATTGGAAACACCATGTAAATGCCTTCGGTCCTTAATATAAGAAAATGAAACAAGTCTGGAAAACAGATCAATTGCCAACGGAGCAGCAAATAATTCAAAAAATTTATACATGTGCAGAAATGG